ATGCCTCCAGGTGACAAGCTAGTGACAAACTACAGGAGTCATCTGATTCTCTTCACATGAACATTTTTTGTCGGAATATTTTGTACTTTAACAATTTTTCTGCATTATGCAACTATTTCTGTTTCCAAGTGTGCTGGTTTTAAGTTGCACCGTCTGGTTCTTTCTTTGTCCGTCTCTCACCTATGCCTCCTGCTTACTTCTGCTTTGGCTTGTCAACTAATAGTGGTCTTGGAGGTCTTGGTTTTGATACCTGAAACAGCATTAAGAGTACACTTGCTGCATCATGCTTTATTAGCATTTAATATACTCCAGTGAAAAAGGATTAATTTGAGAATTTCACTGAATTCTTGAGAAAGCCCCAAACGTGTTGACCCAGATTTGGAACAAAACTTAGTCATTAACAGTATTTTAACAAGGATTATCTTATTATTGGACAGTTTAAGGAAATGGAAATAGGCCTTGAATTGCTCAGTTTAACTCCTATCCAGAACAACAGTGACAAAATAATTTTGGACTGAAGCACTGTGAGTGAGTGGGCTGAGCAGCAGGTTTGTTGCTGAGTGGTATCCACATTAGAGAAGCCATGCACCGGATTTGTACCGCGAACCTTTAAACAGCTCTGAGCAGTCGTGACTTGAACAAACAGAGTCTCTCTTAACATGGTTCATCCATGTCAAAGATGGAAAAAAAAAGCGGCAGAGTAGCTGGGCCGTTACGTGTGCTGGAGCTCTTCTGTTGCTGAATGACGGAGATGACTTTTCAAGGCTGAGTGACTTGATTGTTTATCCTTTTTCTTGCTTGTGAGTGTGTCGCTGTTGGAAACTATGTCCTAAACTGACACCGTGATCCAGCAGACCTTGAGCTGGCTCTGCCACAGACTTGCTGTGTATCTATAAGCACCTTCTCACTCAGCTCTTAGTGCCTCTGGACTGCAAACTGCATTAGGTGTTTGTGGAGGAGGTCTGGTACCGTTCAGTGTGTGGATACTGCCAGAATCAGAATGGCATAGCTGTGAGTCCCTACAGCATAGCTTTGGGACCCTTTGTGTTAGGGATACACCTCGCCTTCTCCCTGCCTCTGTCTTTTACAAAGACGATGATAACAAAACCCCCAAATTAAGCCAACTAATGGTTGTAGAGCACAGTGAGCTTCTCAGTGAACAATATGCTCGCATCAAGTGACAGCAGCAGGATTTTTGCTGATAATTACTTTATTCCCAGCATTCCTTACCAGTTTGTCTGAAACTATTACACCAGGTGTAATGCATTCTCTCATTTCTCATATTGCTTCTTGCTTCTTGTAAAGTTTTCTTTGCTCTTATTGACTTAATAGGCATTTTATTTTTTGTTGCTTTTCATCACAGGTGTTTAATGTTCCATTTCTGGCAGGCTCACTGAGGATGGAATGGGATCAGGAAATTGATACCCAGTTTAACTATACCAGTCTGCATTTAAATGGAAGCGAAAATATGCATAAATAGCTTCAGGTTTACCTCTTCAGTCTCTCTCATTATATGTAATAACTTGATAATTTTATTTCCATATAGTAATTATTTTCCTGCTATTATCTTTTTCTCACAGTAGTAATATTTTACTTGTTTCTTTGTCACCGAAAATTATCCTGGAGATTGCAGAACAGCCACTGCTTGTGACTAACGGCAGTGTTGTCTCTGCTTTCGCCTTACAAATTTTGGCTCATTACCAGAAACAGAACTTAATAACAATATATGTTAAAAAATAGTTGACTGATTATTTTGGGTTTGTGCAGTGGGATTTTGGTAGCTGGGGAGGGGCCACAGGGGTGGTTCATGTGAGAAGCTGATGGCTCCAAGTTTGGACCAGCCTCTGGGCAAGGCTGAGCCAATCAGCAATGATGGTAGCACCTTGTTGGTAACATACTTAAGAGGGGAAAAATACTGCTTTTCTTTTATGAAAAGGTACGAGACTTCTGTGTGAGGCGGTTCAGAACCATGTCTCAAAGCATTAAAGGTGTCATTTGTCACTGGGACAGTGCTAGAGCTTTACTCAAAGGCTTAATAATAGTAACATATGCTTTCCTGAGTGGTTTATATCCCAGGACCTCCATCCATTTTTTGAAAACGAATTATCCTTCAGCATAACGGCTGCCAGGTAGGCCAAACAGTTATCCTCAATGTTAGAGGAGAAATTCAGGCACAAACAGGTTTGTGGATTTGGGACGATCGCAGTGGTGAAGGTGTGAGGTGGGAATCCTGACCTGTGGTCTCTTCAGAGGCTTGTCCTCACACCTGTGCTCTACTCTTTCAGGATTTCTGGGAAATAGGGTGTTCTAATTGTGCTTTTCTCCTCAAAGCCTGCCTTAAAAATGCGTATTTTTCAGAGGGGGCCCAAGTGGGTGGTGTTCTGCAGCTCTGTGAGGTTTATGAGACCTAAGGACTCACCTATATAAAGGGAATTGGCAGCTGTCACAGGAGCTCACTTAGTCCTTGTTAGGAAGGGAGGTTTAGAAAACCTAGAGATTCGTCAAAAATGATACTGTACCTTAGTAGTGGGCTGGTGACTAGGCATAAAGTATGGATTGTCTTCAGTTATTTCTCCTTGGAATACCATGCCTATCCCTCTAGAATTGGCTCTTTATCTGCTCCAGCACCACAGTCTCTCCATACGTAGTTCTCTATATCCTCACCTTCCAATTTCTTCCCATTTCAACTGTCTGGCTGGTTTTTCCTCTTGAAGGTCCCTTAGTCCAGTTCTTGCCCATCCTCCTTCCAGTTTGAGATCTCCATGACAATCACCTTACAGTGTGTTCACAGCACACGAACTGCTCTGCAAACTAAGCCACTCCTTGCATGTCTGTGTTATTCTAGCTACATCTCTAAGTTGGCAGACAAGTTGCAAACCAGTATCTTACGGTTTCTATATTTATTTCCCTTCACTTTCAAACTTGTGGTGCCTTGATTACTTCTTCTTTTTCTTTTGAAAATACGGCATAATTTTGGTTAGCTTTCAGAAATATTTTCTCTGGTTCAAGCACACGTTGAGTGGGATGTGAAGGAGAATCTGTGACTGTTCTGCAAAAGGTCAGGCTAAACTACTGCTTGTCACACTAATCCTTGTGTTGGCTTCAAACACATACTCAGAGTGTAAAACTTGTTCATGCTTCCCCTCCTGAGCTACTGAAATCACAGTATGATAGCTCATCTGGTCCAGGGGGTAGCACTGGGGTGTTCACAGCTAGAGTTGCAGAGTGGAAATAAGGTTCTGAGCTCTTGAGAACTAATTCTAAAATATGTATGTGTAATATATTTGTGGCTTATCTTTCTAATTACCGGTATTATTGGCTTTAATTCATGGTAGCATCAGAATAACTTCCTGTCTCCTGCTTAATATTTTTGGAAAAGAAATTTGCACCAAAGCCGATTAGTTATGCTGCAGGCAGTTAAAATAACTCCACAACTCCAAAAAGCAACAAGAGACAAAACTATACTTACAGAATCTTTGTTCCAGTTTCTTTTGACTGATGTCTGATAAACATCTAGTGTATATATGGGCTGAGTTATAATTCAGCCCATCTTTTCAGGGTAGTACAGCGTGTTAGGTAGTCTGCTGCTATGTTTAAGAGTTCACTATGGTTCCTCATTCCCACACACCCATCTAAGGGTGTGAGGGGTGGGAAAAGATGGGGCTGGGAAAGCTGGATACAATCCCTAAGGCATTTTCAGTGGTGTTCAACCTTCCTCAAACAGATCTAGAATTTCCAGGTGTTTTTGGTTCTATTTCAGCGCCCAGGTTGTTGGCTGGGATTTAAAGAGGCTCGTGCTTTACACTGTGGAGCTAGCCATTGGTGACAGAGCTGGAACAACACTTCCTAGGACGTCTAGACTGTACCTCAGCTAAATATACTCCAACAAACACAGTGATTTCTAACAGGAAATTCCATCTTCTGCAGGCAGCAGTTGTGTGTTCGGACACACAAGATAGCCTTATTTTACCAACTGGTTTTGCAGTTTGAGTTTTAAAAACAGGTACTGAGAAATGGTTGTTCTCTCACGAGAGACATTTCAAAATTCTGTTACCTTGAAAAAAATAGTGATTTTTTAATATATATTTGCCAACTTTCTTCCTGGTGAAGTGAAGCAAAAACTTGCAGACAATACTAGCAGGATAGCTTTCAATAAAGTGTGTATTTAATATCTTTTTATATATTAAGAAAATATATTTTCTTCATATCCTGTAGAATTTCTTTGCTTCCGTTTGGGAGAACAGGTCTTTGTGAGCTAAGCTCATGCAGGGACTGTGTTAGA